CTGCTGAGATATAAGCGTCACAAAAGCGTGACCACGGCCGGCCGGCCGGCCGCTCATACTCAGAAATTTCCGTTAATCTACGTAAGACTCCGCAGCTCGCTTCGCTCGCTCCGTAAAAACACACCTTGTCATACATCAATTCTACACATGTTGTTTAAATTTCAGACCAAGATTATCTAAGGTCAGGTCACTAGGTCACTTCAAGTGACCTCACCCCAAATTAACCCATTTATGCCCAGGAATATTGACCATCATGAAAATCGACGAAATCAAAATATGTTATGCTCCTACCAGGGCCTTGTATGGAATCGAAAATAATTTTTGCCTGCAGCAAAAGTTTCTCGAGAAAAACGTAAAAAACATGCGTTGCGAAATCGCAACGAAGGGCACACCGGGCGCCATCAGCGTTGCGAAAACGCAACGACGGGCACATCAGACGGACATAAAGTACACTGAACTGCCGTATATGCTAATATATTTTGACAAAACATCAATCAACTGTTGACAACTATTGCTTGAAAATGCGGAACCCACATCCGTCATGCTCTATAACCCGCCTAAGAGCCTCAGTGAGGAAGCATAACTTCATGATTCGCGAACGGGGAGATGGCAACACGGTCATTATCAACCATTTACGTTGTCCATTGCTGTTCATTTAAAGTTGTGGTCGACACGTATCCAGGGTGATGCTTTCTTTTTGGAAGCTAGACAGATCCATTACCTCCACCTATCAGACCCTGCACAGTGCACACTGAATACAATTAAACGGAGGATTGGGAGTAAACCAGTGCCTCTCGTATGCGCGTATATCCGCAATCATTTTTTACTGTATGCCTGGCCTATTCAAATACATTAGCCTGAGGGGTGTGGTAATAACTGGTGTAAGCAAAGTGACCACGGTCAAAAACGAATTACCAAGTCAACATTTTGGGATGTCCTCGTTCAAAAAACGGCTAAGAGCTTCGGTCTAGACAATTATTTTATCGTTGAAATACATACCAAACTCGGCCGGTGATAAATTTTCAAGACCTCAGTCCTTACTGATTTTTGAACTCGGCCTTCGGCCTCGTTCAAAAATTCAGTAAGGACCTCGGTCTTGAAAATTTATTTACACCGGCCTCGTTCAGTATTATATATAACCACCCTCCTAGGAGTAAAGTTAAATTCCATTGCAGGTTAGTCGTACCCACTCTCAGCAAAAAGAAAAAAGGACCGATCCGGCTCTAACAAATTACCCGCGTAAGGCGTAGCGCATCACAACAAATCGACTCCCAGTTTATCATGTTTACACCTAATCCAAAATTTTCATGGCCCCACTCTCAGCGACCTTCACGTGTAACCTCTTTCTCGAGACAATGCCAGGACAGAATGGTGATTCGACGTCAATCCGTCCTTTCCATCTTCAGGATAGTTGAATCCTCCTCCACGCCTCATCCCCCTGTTCCGGGCTGGACCGGCAACGTATATCGCAATCGGGCAGCTCACATAGGAGCGCGCCTGTAGCCGGGTGCAGTGAGTGCTTGGGAGGGGGGGAAGGGGGTGGGTCATGGGTGGCGGCTGCCCACTGGCTGGGCTCAGTCTCCAGTCTACGATTGACCGTGTCCGGTCAGACAAATGTCTCCCCTAATTCCAATAATCCTGCTAGCTCTAAAAATGGTCTGATTAGATAAAAAGCCTATCAAAGTAAGAAAACAGGCGTATACTCCACATCAAGCAGCTTATGAATCTATGCGAGTTATGAATCCTAAAAATTATTATTTTCCCATGGGTCCGCCCTCATTACCCCTGCCGAAGGGCTCAGCTACCCTCAGAGGGGGCGTATCCCACTATTTGCCGACCCTCAGTTATCTTTTCTAACGTAAATGCTGGTAGTCAGCAGATTCTATCCAGGAATGGCGATGCCTATCTGTCGCCTGTCACCAGAATACATCCCCGTTATTCATTATTTATGCACAATGTACATAGTAGATCCAATTTCCAAAGGACCTAATTATCTCTCAGCTCCGTTAGCATCGCCGACCGTTTGATGCATGGGTCCTTTTCCTACCATGCGATTTTCAGATGCATGGGAACACATTGCTTAGTGAACGAACAGCCCGAGGCCGAAAATCTGCGAGAGAAAAAGAAAGGAGTGTTTGTGGCTGTTTGAGCCAGCAAATATGAAATGTGTCGCAACATTTTACGTGCGAACGCACCTTGCACTAAACATACCTATTACCTATATATACGTCCCTCATGGCATAGGCGGCGGAGCGGGGGGAGGGGGCACCGGGGCACCGTGCCCCCTTGATTTTGCCATTTTAACATTATCCCGATAGGCGTTGCATGGAAATGGAAATGGAAAGAATGAGACCAAAAGTCAGCAGTGCTCCCCCCCCCCTTAATTGAAGATGTTCCGCCGCTACAGCCTCATGGCTACAAAATGAGAGAGAGAAAGAAAGAGAGAGAGAGAGAGAGAGAAAGAAAGAGAGAGAGAGAGAGAAAGAGAGAGAGAGGGGGGAGAGAGTTGGGGAACGAGGAGGAGAGGGAGGAAGATGGGGGAGAGAAAGAGAGAACCCACAGCGTATCACGAGTGAAGTCTACTGTTGATATTCATACTTCCGCTACCCTGCCAATGTGCCCATCGTTGCGTTTTCGCAACACCGCTGTCTTTCCGATGTGCCCTTCGTTGCGTTCCCGCAACGCGACCGTAGTCATATTTGAAAATAGTCACAAACCCTTTTTGTAGCATTATTTCTTAACAAAATGCATATCTACGCTATTGTAGGGACTCTGCAGAATATGTTTCCACAATTTTCATTACGATATTATTAAGCACTTAGCCTACTTATCTTGGTTTTCGTGACGTCATCACTCACAAAACCTTCGACTTCCCTCTGGGAGCTCTAGGCAGTAACTTACCGGCCGCACAGACTTGTAACTGCGTAGTATCATGCGCACAACCATGCTACACATGCTGAAACTTGTCTCATCGGTTAGTCTCTTTTACACACTTCTCAAGCTTCGATCACGTCGACGCTTGCTTGCGTTGCGAAAACGCAACGAAGGGCGTAAATGGGTTAATTAAGTTTCAATGTCTGCCATAGCTACACCGAGTGATCGATTGCTTTGAAACTTTCAGCGATTGATATGAGCAATAGTATGAACAAAAGGTTTACCTCGGAATTTTGATATCGGTGACCTAAGGTCATGTCAATTTTGCGGCTTCCCCATTAGGTATAATACCTAAATTCGACGCGTCTCGACGAGAGGAACACGATGCTGGCAAAATAAATTTCGTGGCTCGCTTGAGTCAAAAGTTATGACCGAGAAACATGTTTCGTGAAAACTGCTATTTTTAGAGTTTTTCCCCATGGAGGCTAAACCATTGACCTGCGGTCAAATATGAGAGCAACTTCCAGAAAGTTCTGTAAAAGGCCTATCCAATGCGCTTTTCCGCAGCGCTGTTGCTCTATTGGTTTTCTAGTTAGCCCTGGGGGTTGAATATTGTTGAAATAGACAAAGTTTGACCTTTGACCTCTGGTGACCTGACCTTTGACCTGACTTTAAAAATTCAGCCAAAGTTCATTTAAAACGGTTAGAACGAGTCCAGCACAAATTCCTAATGTGGTTAGCAGCTCGGGCCGGTGGCACGGACAGATCAATTTGCCTGGAATACTGTCATCTTTTACACTTCTTCCATGTTTCGTCACTCGAGGCGCGGCGCATTCAGTTCGATCTTTTATTCCTGAAAAGCATTTACTCTGGACGCATCGACTCGTCTTTTTTATTAGCCTCGTACGCACTACATGTACCAAGTCGTCCAACACGGAACGTCCAGTTGTTTAATGTGCCGTTTGCTCGAGTCTCGACGGTAAAGACAGGAACTTTTACAAGGCTGGCGGCCCAGGCAAATGATTTTATCGCCAGGAATCCTCAGGTGGATTTCACGTCGGATACCTTTATCTCTTTTAAATCATTCGTCGTGGCCCACTGCAGGAACATGCCTTTGAGAACCGTGTCTTAGAGATTTTAAAGTTTGTTTGCACTTTTCCTATTGTTATTGTTTTTTCTTTTAATTTAATTTTATTTTTACTGTGTACTTTTATATTATATCCTATTATTTTCATAGATCTCTTTCATGGATCTCTGTATTTTTAAGTGTCATCTAATTGCGAATGAGTGCTTAGTGTTTACCTTGTGTGTGTATTTTATGTTGTGGTATGACTTCGCCTGTTAATGGGCCATGAGCCTGTTGGCGATTTATTTGAATAAATAAATAAATAAAATAAAAAAAATGACCGAAGTATTTCCGCCATTATATTTTACGCTCTATCGATTGCCACTTACCACGTGTCGCTACGTGGTCCAGGAGCCGAGTTAGACGGGAGGGAGAGGGGAGGCGTAAAAACGCCCCTCCCCCCAGCACGACACGGAAGACACAGGCCACTAGCACGGCGCGGGTTAAGGAAGCTTATTATGTTATATTTCTGTATAGCTGAATATATGCCGGTGCCACTCGTTGACTAATACACGTAGAGAGAGAATTGCAAAAGCCCACTCCACGCCCCACGTACCCCATCATAGAATAGTGGTAGACTCGATGTGAAACTTGTTAAAATAAATGATTAAAAGAATAGTAGTCTTACGACAACTATAACAACAGACAAAGCTGCAATTCATACAACAGCCTCGCATTTCTGAGAGAAAGAGAGTGAAAGGGATATGAAAAGAGGAGAGAAAGGGGGAGAGAAAGAGAGAGAGAGAGAGAGAGAGAGAGAGAGAGAGAGAGAGAGAGAGAGAGAGAGAGAGAGAGAGAGAGAGAGAGAGAGAGAGAGAGAGAGAGAGAGAGAGAGAGAGAGAGAGAGAGAGAGAGAGAGAGAGAGAGAGAAGTTGCGCTCCTCCAAATCAAAGCCTTATTACGCGACCAGCAGGGGTGACAGCGACATTTATATCACAGCCCCAGGCGTGGCAGCGACATTTATATCACAGCCCCAGGCGTACAGCGACATTCACATCACAGCCCCAGGGGGACAGCGACATCCGTATCACAGTCCCACGGGGACAGCGACATCCGTATCACAGCCCCAGGGGGACAGCGACATCCGTATCACAGTCCCAGGGGGACAGCGACATCCGTATCACAGTCCCACGGGGACAGCGACATCCGTATCACAGCCCCAGGGGGACAGCGACATCCGTATCACAGTCCCACGGGGACAGCGACATCCGTATCACAGTCCCACGGGGACAGCGACATTCATATCACAGCCCCAGGGGGACAGCGACATCCATATCACAGTCCCACGGGGACAGCGACATTCATATCACAGCCCCAGGCGTACAGCGACATCCATATCACAGTCCCACGGGGACAGCGACATTTATATCACAGCCCCAGGGGGACAGCTACATTCATATCACAGTCCCAGGGGGACAGCGACATCCGTATCACAGGCCCAGCGTGTTCTCCAGTCTGTCAGATCCCGTATATCACGACCGGAACGGCCGACCAATGATTATCGGTCCACCACCCGGGCCAAACGCCTCCTTGATGTCAGCGTCTGGCGCAAACAAACAGCCTAACATAAAGGCATAAAATAAAACTAGAAAACCACAGACACATTGTTAGTTGGCACTGCCGTCTCTCTGTTCGGCAGCCGGCCCACTTTGCGCAATAAGCTTTGCGACGTTAGTTGACGCAGCGAAAGCCTGCAGCCGGCAACCAGTCCACCATATGGCAGAAAGAAGGGCGTTAAGCATTCTCCATACACCCAATCGTCGCTCTGCACAGTGCACACCCAAGCTGTGCTCCCGGGGAGCAGCCCCGTACAGTCTGTCCTCCAAAGGGACGCAGCCCCGCACAGTCCATCTGTCCTCCATCTGTCCTTCAGAGGAGCAAAGCCCCCGGATAAACCCCGCGGTCGTCCTCCCACATACGAACACCGCAGCCCGCCGCGCTCTTTCTCCGGGAAGAGCTCAGTCCGTCATCCAGGGCTCCGTGGATTCCACGGCCATCGTCACCAGCCGCCGCGCCCACGCCAGTCTCCTCGACGCCCAATCCCCGCGCGCGCTTCACCCCCTGGGCAGCCAACGGCCGCGCCTAGCCCCGCCGATCCCCGCACCCAATCCTCTGGGCAGCCAATGCCGGCGCCCAGCCACTGGGCAGACGGTTCAGCCGAGTGTTCCGGGAGCAGCGCCTGCTGCTCGGGCACAGAGCAGCACGTCCGCAGCACATACACACCGAACAGTCAAAGGCCAGCGCACCACACCGGGCGCAGTCTGACCACTGCCTGCTGCCACTGCAGCGCTCACAGACAAGTTATCAGCGCTTTACTGTGTTAACCATGTGCGTTTTTTTGTCTTTTTTTTTTGCCGGACGTTTGCACAGAGTTGATTTGAACGCCGTCAATCGCTAATGACAGCCGCAGCTCCTCACTCTCATACCCGGCAGCTCGGCCCATCTGAAACGCATGGGGCGAGGGCTTGTCACATACACATAAAAAGCAATGCACTGCACAAATCTTGGTCCGGCGATCTTATCTAGGGCGGGGAAGAACCGTATAGGACGCCCAGAGTAAGTAAGACTCCCCACGCTCATATTTAGGACAAAATTGATTAGGTAATTTTATCAACCTTACACAAGATATAAAATGTTTAATCAAACCGCTGACAAAGCTTGGTGAGCATCATTGTCAATGGATCAATCTTATAGCAAACAAACATGATTTTATGCGCTTTCTTAATCCACGCCCTGCTGGGGAAGAGGGGGGGGGAGGTGTTTGAACAGCCCCCATCCAATGCTAAAAAACGGCGGTACGGACCACAACCGTTTTTGGCACACCTTATCATAGGGTAGAGTGGGGCAAGTCGCCCAGGGCGGGTAAAACGCCCACCCCTGTTCTTTGTGAAATGCTCGACTTTTCAAAGAATCCTTGATAGCCATTTTCAAGAACACGCAGGAATCTGCTTGAGCTCCCTTTTTTGGTTCCACAAGTGGAGTTTTCTGGACGTGAGATGAAGATTAGTATATTTCTGACATTTTTTTTTTTAATTACAGGCTTTCTTACTGCTAAAACTTTGTCTGATAGAGATTGAAGAAGGCAATGAAATTTTGCTATGTCAAACCTGCAGATCTAACCCGCGCCGGGCCGGTGCTCCGCGACTTCCGCACAGGGCCGGGGGGGGGTGTCTGAACACCCCCCAGTCTAACTCTGCTCCTGGGCCACGTAGCGACACGCGGTAAGCGGCATTCGAAAGAGCGTCAAAAATAATGACGGAAACACTTCAGTCATTTTTAGGGTCAGGTCAAAGGTCAGGCAGGTCGCCAGAGGTCATCAAAGGTCAAGTGTAGGCCATTTTAACAATTTTGGAAACTGCCAACGGCTAACTCGGGAACCAATATAGCTACAGCGCCGCGGAAAAGCGCATTCGATAGCCCTTTTACAGACCTTTCTGAGTTTTATTCTCAGATCTGACCTCAGGTCAACGGTTTGGTCTCCAGGGAGTAAAAACTATAAAAAGCCGTTTTCACCAAAAACAGTTTTTCGGTAATAACTTTTAATTCAAGCAAACCAGACATTACTTTTGCCAGCATCGTGTTCCTCTCGTCGAGACGCGTCGAATGAACTATTCGCTGACCTTGAAAGATCGTTTTAAAAATTTGACCTCAGGTCAAGGTTACCTGACCGCAAAGGGTCATGTTGCATAGGTATCAGTCGATCTGTATCGTCGAGCTGAATACATCTGACGTGTTTTCATCGCTCTAGCACGTCTCTATCAAAAGTTATAGCCAAAAAAACTGTTGGTGACCGTTCCTGACCTGAGATGACCTCAGGGGCACACAGAGGGGTCACAGCCCACAGGTGCATTTTTCCGATTCAGTGTGTCATGTTTACCCATGAACCGATGTTTGAGAGGGTTTTGAACACCATTCGTCCACAAGAGGCGGATTTAAATTTTCTCCCCTTGACTTAATCTCATCTCAGGTCACAAGTGGAATAGTATGGAAATGGTGTAGGTAACAGTTTTTCGCTAATAACTTTTATAGAGGTATGCTAGAGCGATGAAAACGCCTTAGTGGCAAATCGTAATCCGTTCGACGATACCAATCGACTGATTTCAACATGACCTCTTTCGGTCACTTCATGATCTTGAACAGAGGGCACATTTTCAAGTTGGCTTTTCAAGGTCAAATTATAGTTCTGTCGATGCGTCTTGACGAGAGGAACACGATGCTGCTAAAAGTTGCTAACAACCGCTACCTTCGGTGACCTCTGGTGACCTGACTTATGACCTGGTCTAAAAAGCTACAAATCAATTTCTTCAATATCTTTGACGCTTTTTCGAACGCCTCCTTCATTGTGTCGCTAGGTGGCCAAGGAGCGAAGTTAGAAGGGGGGGGGGGGGGGTGCATACACCGCCCAGCAGGGCGTGAAAATCCAGGGTCCCCAGCGGGCAGTGGGTTAACCCGTGAATGACGCGGGGGGGGGGGGCACTCACAGAGCCCCTCTAATTTTTCTGTGATGTTTTCAAAATTGCTGAAGGTATCGATATGAAACTTTCAGTACCGGATGTTATAGATGCTATATTGTGATTGTATCATAGATGTTAATGTTACAGATGTACATTGTACATTGTACTCTGCTTGAAGTTGACGAACCGACCTGCGGGCCGTCCCTGGACTCGCCCCTGCCCGTGTGACTGACGGCGGGCGCCCTCTGTGGTCGGGTTGACCTAGGGTCGGGCCGCTATATCAATACATTCAGTCTGGACCGAGCACGGAACTGTGTGGACGTGGACCCGCTGGCGCGGGGTATGACATTGGGGACGAGGAGTGCTGGCGCTGGTCAGATGCCGCTCGGGAAGATTGAAGAGTTTAAGCAAGGGCAAGACAACTGGGAGGAGAATGTAGAAAGATTGGATCAGTTCTTTGTCGCAAACGACACCAAGGACGGTGATAAGAAGAGAGCGGCTCTTCTCAGCGCTATGGCCGGGAGCTCGCACTTACGGTACAGTACGATCGTTAGGGTAGGGTGGGGTAATTTGAACATATTTTTTACGTCTTCTCCGTCGTACCAAATTCCAGCTCAACCCTGGATGAAGAAAAACTGTTTCAGTAGCGCAAATGTCACTTCCTTTCACCATGCAAACCTCATTTTTGGACGAGCCGAGCATATCTTGGATAGCATAGCCTCACTTCTCCACCAAATCACGGTGTGTTCAGATTGCCCCACCGTGGGGTAATTTGAACATACTGCCTTTACGTGCCATAAAAACGATAATCTCGCCAGCACCGATGTTGTTTGATGCATAAATAAATTGGCAGAACAATTCTAAACATACTTTCATTTGAAAAAATCAACAAAACAACAAGCATAACACTTGCAGAGTATCAGTATCTGCATGCTGCACACCGGTCAGTTGACAGAAGTCGCCTCTCTCCAGTTAACAGAACGTCTGTCATTTCCGTTCAATAAAAACTCTCCCAACCTTGCTTCATCTGTTATAGTGGTGCCAATCGGAATCTGGACATTAGGAGTTCTGATTTTGTCCAATGTCCAATTTGGAATTGGTTGGACAAAGGTAGCAGACTGGACAACATTGGACGATGGCTTACTACACTTCAGCATCTTTATGAAGTAATCGTGCAAGCATTGATCGGCGAATGGAAAGCTTAGTTAAGCTCTCAATATAATGAACACTTTTCAGCTGGTAAAACTACAATGTAAACAATTTAAATGACAGCTTTGGATGCTGATCAATACGTAATTTTCGGACATATTTGGACACATGGCTGACTTAAATTTTTTGGACGGAAATTCAACGTAAATGCCGGACATTAGACGGAAATTAGACACAAATTTTCTGAAACTGGCATCACATAGCTGCTGCTGCTTTGTGTCGAAGATATTGGCAAAAAAAAAAAAAAACTAGGAACGTTGTTTTTTTCGGAGTTATATCTGTCTTTATTGAAATCCTCACACTATGTTAAAATCACCCCACGCTAAAAGTTATTTTGCCATATTTTAACACAGGTTTCAAAAGCCAAGTTTTTGGGTTGAAGACACTTTATAGTTCATTGTACAACAAAAGCCGTTGCGTGTAAAGTGCTCGCAATGTAATATTTTGCGCTGCAATGAAGTTGCAATGACGTGTTGTTGGGCGTTTTTACTTGCGAAATTGATTTTTACATTGTGCGTCAATATCTTAATTCCCTGAAACTTTAAACCCCGTTCATATTATAGCTCTTTTAGTTACGATAATTTCCCTAATTGATCTTATTGTCGCGTCACTTATGGATTTTCCATAATTTTGTGTTATTCATACTATGTTCAAATTGCCCCACATGTTCAAATTACCCCACCCTACCCTATTATCGCCTCAGAAGTCAAATGAGGTATAAGGTTAGGACGAGGCGGAAAACAATAAGTTGAGTTTTGCTGGCATTGAACTTCATGGCGTTCTTTCGAAACCACCATGAAAAAGCAGCTAAACTGCGCTCCATATTCGAAACGTTGAGCGGCATCGTATGATTTGGACCTGTGACTAAAACTTGTGCATCATCAGCGTACTGAATGATGTCGGCATCCTCGACGTATGTACAGTGGCGTGTCATTACTGTAAATGCTATACAACAGAGGCCCGAGGGCGGATCCCTGGTACAGTCGTGTACAGGTTGATGGTCCCCTACTCTTTATCCACCGGGTTCCTATGGCTCAGCATTGGCAGCAGCCGCCTGGTACCGGTAGGCTGTGCCGCATGACCCGAGAGTGAAGCGGCACGGCCTACCCACACTGTATGACACCGGCTCGGGTCGCCTGGAAGAGCGATTTGACCGGACGCTGTGTTACACCGGCTGGGGGGAGGGGGGGGGGGCGTAAGGGTCAGGTCTGTCTATTTGGCTCGGCTCGGTGGATGAGGCGGGCTGGAGTGTGGTGTGGGGCGGCGGTGATGTGGAGAGGGAGTGAGCGGACGTGGGGCTGGGTGTGTGTGGTCACTTGTCGCATAGAACCAATCGTAATCCACCCTCCAAAAATTCACTTTAGAGATATTCACAAAACCCAGGGGGGTTCAAACACCCATCTCCCAAGTGGGGTGCGGAAGGACAGGTAAGGGTCCATACGGTCTCCTCATGAATTGCAGCAAAGAAAGAAAACAGACCTGTCACCAAATAATTTTTCTAAAAAGTGGACTAATCGCATAGCCTCGGACACAGAAATAAACGTCCAGCACGCGAAGCGTCTCGGACCGGGCCTCTCACTACCGGTCAGTTTGACAGTCTAGCACTCCTACGCTGAGCTACACCGGATGGTGGCCGTGGACGGGGCAGTCTGGCCGGGCGGGTGGCGGGGCCGGGAGGTCGGCAGCAAAGTCAATGAATGTTTTTTTGTGGTTTCGGGTGCCGGTCGCTCTATGTAGCTTGGTGGAATGATGATGGATCATTGGCAAAACTTTCAACGTG